TAAACGCTTGATTTCGGGTGTGCTTAATGATGTTGAATTTTCAAAAAAAGGTTGATCAGCAGCACAAATACAACACTTTGATAGTAAAGAGAAGTGTAGCATGCTACTGCCATCCATTCCTGAGTTAGAGAAAACAAGTTGCATAAATGGATACCACCTATGTAGACGCACGTGGTCTACTCGTCATCTTGGAATGTTGTTGAGGTTTGATGTATCAGTGCAGCTGCGAATTTCACCTCTGTTAGAAAGTATTTTGATGATAGTATTTAGAGAATTTAGTTGGAAGAGAATGCTAATGGGTGTAGGAATGGACGTGTATGGTGTAAAAGCGAGGCACAAGTCCCCTTTGGGTCTGTAAACCACCAACACGCAAGGAGTGTGGTGTCCTTTTTTGGAGTTATAATTAGTTTATCTAAACATGCGAAATAATGCTCGTACTCACTCGAAGACTCCTTAAAATATTGAGATAGCCATGCATCAAAAGTTGGAAAAGAATATTCCATAGCTTGCCTATAGTCGAGCAGGCAAGAGAGCAACGAACCTGAAGTGTGGTAAACAAATGGATGTTCACAAGAACTGTCTATCAAAGCATTAACAAGAAGAGTAACTGATACGAGCTTGGAATCAAAACGACTGTGCAGTTAAGGTACTTGAAAAACTAAGGGCCTTAAAAAATGCCAAAATGAATCGTATTAAAATGATGGTGGTCACGTGATCGCCTCTTACAAACGTAATACTAAATCTACCTAACTGAGGCCTCTAGGCGTGAGAAACTCCGGTACCACATTGCATTTAAGTTCTAATGTCGGACGTTGGAAAGCGTATATGGCGAATATAGCGGCGCATATGCTACAAGAGAGGAAGGCTAGGGTGGGGAATGTACACAGCAAAATCAATGCGGTGCGGGACGGTACACGTGGCGTGGCGTTTGGGGATAAGGAGGCACACACCCGCACTAGTTGGGATTGGCAGTGCTGCAGTACGAAGCAGTGAATGACTTTCACTGTGATAGACGCGGTCAAAATCCACAAATACCATCGAATTTGAGCGTGACTTTGAAAGAACTTGACACATTGACTGCGCGTTTCGATGGAGCCTAAGACTTAGCTATTCTTCATGTAGCCCAAAATAGACGCGCTTCATCGTAGTGCTTGGAAAATTATGTTGTCCTTTTTGGACATTTGTAATGCATCCACATTAGGCACCCGAAAAGCGAGTGAGGCGATACTACGCCTCTGGAGTCGGTTATCCCTTTAAAACATCTTGAAACACTGATGCGAATGCAAGTAGTTAGTCATCGCAGTTCTATTAAAGTCAATGAATGTATCAAATATGTTCCGTCCCGTGATTGCGACTTTGTTCCCAGGTAGAAATTTGTTCATTATTGTCAATGATTCGGATGTACCGACACCATAATTTAACAGTCCAGACAGACACTTTGTTGGAAGATTTCTTGAGCATCATAGTAAGCAAAACTGAAAAATGCTACCTTGCTCCTACCGCCAACCATCCCAACAATAAACATGCTTTCATTGAGCAAAGCGTAGAGCAGTAGTGATTGTGAGAACGAGACACTGGCATTAAGTTCATGTGAGAACACTGTCATTTACTCATCTCATGCTGCTGATTCGCATTTTGCCACTCGGCGAAAAGAGTGAAGCACGTCTTTGAGGAAAATGTCAAGCTAGGTCGAGAGCCTCTCACACTTAACTACACACGAGGTCAGAAAATCTAACATCGGATGAAGTGGAATTGGACTTCAAAGATTACTGAAATAATAACATGCAGACACTAGTCGAACAAAAGGGACCACATCGATCACATTAACTGCAGAGCTATCGAGTTCAAGCTTTGTTTACAAAGCAGAGGAGTAATGCCCTGGGCATGCCAGTTCCCCGTACCAAAGCCGCGATGAGAAAAAAACCCGCTTAAATCTGACTGAGCGATGAGACCACTCTGTACAGGACAATGTGCTTAATCAACTACATTGATTGCGACAGAGCGTGTTGCTAAAGCTAAATGGATCACTCACCATTATATGACAAAAACCTTGACTCCGGCACCTCAAATTAGGCTGCTGAAATTCCGATATCCCAGTGATTAACCGATATTAAGCATGTCGAAGGCCGCGAAGGTAGAACATGCGATCCGTCCTCCGTTGGGAAGTAAGTGTACAGGCAGCTAGGTGCACACAGCCGAAGACGACGACTGCAAGAAAGCCATGGTCCCGATTCCGGACGCAAAGAGTGGGAAACAAACACAATCTCGACCCGCCTTCATTCCTCTCTTCCTCCTTCCATCCATCGCATCATGTGACCCCAAGCCACTGCAATGGGCGCATGAAACTCATCAGCCAAACACATCGATAGGCGGTGAATGCACCTCATCTGCCTCCCCTCCCCCCTTGACGCTCTTGAGGAGCAGTCAGCTTTTCAGTCTCAACAACTGCATGAACTACAAAAAAACGTATATAACCAGCTAGAAAGGACAGGTAAATTTGCCTCTGTGTGATTTAAATGGACGATCTTCAATATGATCCCGACAAATATTGAAGACGGCGCAACGAAGTATACCGAACAATGGTGTATCACAGTGATATTAAACAGGACGGTAACAAGTAAATAATAATCTAAGAAGCCTTCATTTAAATGAGATAATTCGCAACTAAAAGGATGTCAACAGGTGATCCAAAGCTCATTCATTCACCTAACGATGCAGCATGATATCAAACCCTTTAGGATAAGGAAACACAAGGTGGGAGAAAAAACCAGTTCGTTCAGATGGAGCAGAAGTGTAAACATAATGCACAAAACGACAGAGGTGCTGGCTGCTACTCGCTTTCCACTCCCGCCTTGGCGTAGACCTCGTCGGCTAGTTCAAAGTACTTGGCCGCCAGACGGCCATTCGTCTGCTGAGTAGCCGCTTCTGCTGCCTCCGTGTATAGGTCACCTACAAGACAGGCAAACACTGGTACAGTTCATTCCAGCACCAGCACCTTTCCCATGCTCCGTTTTTCTGTCACGGAATTGGTGGCCTCATCATATCCAAACATCTCCCAAATCAGACAAGACTAAAGCAACATCAAATTTGGCCATGGAATTGTTAGATCAAACGTCAATTATGGACTTAATGAAGTGAACAAGAAAGGTGTAAGTAACTAAAGGAAACAAAAAACAAGGAAATTTGATGCTTGTAGCAACTTTTGACATCATATCCTCATTTGCCGCTGATCCAGCGCCTCTACACATGAGTGGATAGAACATACGGAGGGTAAACGAAAGCGTTCTTTATGCGTGATGCATCGACCTAACAAGGCAACTCTTAAAGCTAAAGAAGGAATCAGTAAATTTGATGAGTGGGTCTAGTCAAGCTTCCTTTACAGAGGGGTAGTCAGCAGTCCACATCTCAGGGCACGGCCTATATGCACACCGTTGACATGAGTCATCGGAGCCAGGCGAGACACGGAATAGATTTGGACCAACATAATAGAGCTAAGTCATATGTAAGACGGAGATAAAAAGTACCATTTCGGAAAGGGAGTCTAAAGAGACAAGGATAAGACATTTATGCTCTAGCATCTATTAACACTACGTCAAACCATTACGTTCCGGAAAATTTTCCGCCAGTACGAACTTTTGTCTGATTCATTGCAACGACTAGCCGCAATCCGTAAAACCTTGAAAATTACATACGATTGTTTGCGCAT